AATATCCAGAGAACAGTTAGGAAAGAAGTAATTTGTACAGAGTGAGAAAGAAAAAACAAATGTGCTTTCAGAGACAAACCAGCAGCCTACTGAAGGCTATTAGCTTTGTAATTTATACTAAAACATGTTATTTCCCAAAACATTTGAAAGATCAAAAAATACAGGAGAGGAATTGTTTTGAGTTCTGTAAATGGAAACAACTGGAATTACATGAAACTAAGAAAAGAAGGACTTAATGAGAAAACAGTAAATACAGCTGTTGGATTCCCTAGTATCAGTTAGATATGAAGAAAGTGTAGGAATTTGGAAAGTTCTTAAAAACAGCTTAAACAAAGACATCAGCAAATACACTGTGTGGGAGAAAGCGATTCCACATTCGCAGCAGGACAGACAAGCCCTGACTGGTCTTTTCTGTGTGTAACTGCTGTAAGTCTGTACGTGCAAGGAACGGAACAGGAGATTGAAACAGTTTCTGACTTTTTTGAATAAGCACATATAAGTGAGTACATCTATATGTGAATACATAAACGAGTAGATATAATTCCTAGGAAAGCAAATGCAAAATAAACATTTGAAATATGTTCATTGGGTTCTCTGTGGTACGTATGTAATTTTAAAACAAAAATGCCATCTAAAAGGGAAATATCCACAGGCTTCTACATTTACAGGGGTACGTATTGTTTGTCTAGGGTTTGCCATTAAATTCGTCTCTATTTTAGCAGCTGTTTTCATTTTTTGCCAGAAGGGGTTCAGGAGGGCTTTGCAGTGATAGGGAAATCTATGAATGTTGGTATAAAATAGACAATTAAAAGTTGTGTGGGTGGTTTCAGAAGTGACTCCACTGGTTTTAAGCATCTTTACAGCAAAAGGGCAATGTGGAGCTTTCCACAAAATAGTCAAGCACCTAAGCCTATGGGCTAGAACAGTGGTCGCTTCTCAAGTTCTTTCTGAAGGAAGAGCGGTTTGAAGCTTGCTTTGCACCTGCCCCAGGCCTTTGCAGTTCCACCTGCTGAGCTGACAGGATAGCTCTGATGATTCCTACACTTTCTGGTACCATCCTCACTCAACCCCAGCTTCAGCAGGCTGGTTAGATTTTACCAAAGTAAACCTTTCACCTACCTGATTTGACATACTCAGCCTGCAATATTTTTTAGGGGATGATTAATGGTAAATCACCAGTATATGCAAAAAACTTTCTTTCCTGCTAGCATCTTATACCTCATTAATCTACCTCCCTGCAATATTTATACACATTATAAGATGACATTTCTCTAAACTCTGCTTCTCCTGACTCAACATTTGTCCTTGTTACTTGTCAACCATCCTAATTCCTAGTGACTTCAAAAAACAAGTCTTCAAACTACTAACTGTATTATTTAGCCAGATTTACTTAAAGTGCAGTGATGTCCTAAATCACCTGCTACTCCATAAACTAGGCAACCCATAAATAGACACATCTTCCTGCTTGCTAAGATCTAAATGCTTGTTAAGATCTCCTGGTCCTCTACCATGTGCAAATGTGAGGCTGCTGAGGGTCAGTAGGGGATAATCTGCAATACCTCTCCCCAGCTTGGGCTGACGGAGTCTGTATCAAAAGACTTTGTCCAATGGTCTTTCTCTTGCAACAAATCACAAAAGATGTTTAGGAATTTGATGCTGAAATATCTGTCATAAATCTGGCTAGAATTCAGTTCTACAATTTTAGATGAAGCCACCCAATCTTTCTTTCTGTCTTGTGCCTGTCAGGCATGTTGTGTCTAAGGAGATAAAATTACCTATGAGAAATATATTCTAGAATGCCTAAGGAAGGAAACCAGAGAGCAGAGAGTCATTTGAAGCCAGGGACCTAACTTGATTAGGAATACTTGATTAGGAATTAAAATTCCAGGATCTCAGTCATATGAGAAAACTCAAAAGCTGGGCTGCATCTGCTTAGCAATGGGATGTATCTCCAGGGATAACCAAGTATGTCTAAATGCTTCCTATCCATGGGAATTGGTATGGGTCAAAGACCAGAGTGACATGAGAATCGGATTTGGAGATTCTACTTGAATTTTGCTTGTGACTGTTGATTTTTGTATAATAAAAATATTCTTTTGGCAAAGAGTAAGAAAAAGAAATAAATATACAGGTATATTTCAGTATCTGGGAAATCCACAGAATACCTCAAATCCAGGGGAGAAAAGAAAAAATAAAAATAAAAAATTGCCCATTTTCTAGTACATTTTTCATGCAGAAATAGCATCCATTATAATGGACAAGCTGCTATAAGTTCCTTGCATTGCTTTCCCAGATTCCTTCTGGTTGCAGTTGTTTTTATCACATTTATAAGTCCTGAATGGCTTAGGAGCTTATTACATTAGCAAGCTAAATAAAAACTTCCACTTGATGACTGGTTTTATTGGCCATCTACAACACAGAATTTCTTATGAAGGTGGCAGCTCCCAGCAACAGCAGAAGTGATGGTTGAGGACAAAACACAGAAGGAAACTGAGTTTTGGGAATGATTTAAAGTTGAAGGATACAAACAAAGAAAAGAAAAGCTTTAGAAAACTGGATTTTTTTTTCTTTAATACTGTCTTGTTCTTGGAAAATGAAGTTAGACTTGTTACTTAAAGAAGAGCTTCCCCAATTCTTGTGTCCTGACCAATACTCACACCTGAGATTTTTCCTGTTAATGCATATCTTTTATCAAATAAGTAGTAATTCACTCTTCTGTGATCCAGAATAATGTGAATTTTACAGCTGCAGAAAGCAAACACAACCGATTCCATCTTTGAATTCTGAACTATCTCACAATGTCTACCTATTGCTATAGAGCAGACCTGGGTGAAATAGTGACGATGTGTTGTTATTTTCTGCACACACACACCTTTTTTTTTAGAAAAGGAATACATTTCTGAGTAAGTAAAAACTCTCCCAGGTTCCAGCTAGAGTCCTTTCTATTCAAAGGGATGTCTGACAAAGGAATATTTTCCCTTAATGAATGGAAGCCTCTGTTTTCTGACTCCCTTCTGCAATGCTTCTCTCAGGCTGGCATATACATAAGGTCAAATGACTTGGTGCGTGTCTAGTGGCTGCATTTACCATTAAGTAGCTTATTATTTTAAGAGACCTTGTACAGAATTATTTCTTTCTCATAATAATTTCACTTCAAATATATATTTTTTTGTCATGCATGACATGTCCTTGTTCAAGAAAAGCATCTCAGAGAAAGCAGTCTGTTAAGGTTAAGATACTTTACAGTCAGTATAATCCATTTCTATAAAGCCCACTGTATTATGCAAAAAAGTCCATAAAGTCCACTCTCTGCAAAAAAAAAGAAACGATCCTTTTTTAAAAGATCTTCAACTGCAGTATAGTATAAATACAAAAATAACGAGTCTTGGGAGTTTAAGGTAAAAGATGGAAGGCAGTGGTAGGACAGAGAAAATATGGTATTTCTGCTAGTAAGTAGTGAAGACAATTTTAATTTGTTAGAATTTATCAAATTCTTGCAAGAGCCAGTTTAGGAACTCCATTGTATTTTGTCTATTCTAAATATGTTGAGTGAATATTGACGTTGGGCTAAACTTTGCAACTAGTCAGGCACCGCATTCAGAAAACTGCAGAAGTAAAGCAAGGGGGATCCTTTGCATAGACTTTCAATTTCCAGAAGTGTCCAGTCACTGCACGAGGAGACTAGACTCAGAGGTCACTGACATTCCAGGTGGACGAGCACTCCTCCGGGGCTTTTGCAGTGCTTGAAAGACTGTGTCTATATTCTCTGTTGTACAAACTTGGTGGGACCACAGATTGCATAATGTCAGCATTCCAGAGAACTGCAAGCATCTAAAAGATTCTCACTGATGTCAGATGAAAATTTTCAAGCTGAAACTTTAAATTACTTTTAAGGAGATACCATTTAGGATAACCTACAGAACTGAGTTATTATTTAGGAACTAAACTTCACAAATGCTTTCATTTAGCACCAACAATGGCAAGTATACGCTTGGTATTGTCCAGACCTTAGCCAACCTGAATGTTTTCGTTATTAATAACAGCAAACAACAACATAAACATACCTCAGCTTCGTATTCATAGACCATGGGACTCTTAACCTTTTAGACTTCTAAATTAAAGCAAAGGGTACCTACCAGATCCAGTTTACTAGCAGAAACCCTACAGGTAAGCTCTCATATGTGGCAGTTCTCCAGTCAAGAATTCTGTCTTTTTTGATCATCTCATAATTAACATACAAGACCTACTATAAATAATTTCCTGGTGCTTAAAAATATTCCAGGATTTCAGACGTGGGGTGAATTACAGTGAATCAGTACCCTACAAAAAATTTCCTTCTTTTTGGGGACTGACAGGAAGAGTGTTCAAAGCTGTTGATCTAAATCTCACAGTTTGAGTGTTTCTAATAATAACAGAAGCTTCATCTATCTCCTGTTGAGTCTGTTTTGTCACAGTTCATAAATTGTTGAAAACAGTTTCCTTTTTGTGAAGTTTTAGAATCAGTTCTTTCTTGGCTTTATAAAGCAGTCTCCAGTTTAATGTTTTCTATAAATCAAATGCCTCCCACTTCCAAACTTTAATTACCAAAATAGTGACAACAGCTCCCTTTTAAGTAGATAGAAAGTAAACTACATCTATTTTTAACACCCTGGTTTAACAGTTCCCATAAGTGAAATGTCACCTGGCTACTTGAGAGAGAAAAGATGCCAATTTCAGTGACTGCCTACGTGATCTGTTTTCTTCACCCCTGTGTGGTAATGCATTTAGCATTAGTGAAGAGTGAACTTTTAAAGTGCATTTCTGAATCTCTATATCCTTTTGAGTTTCAAATAAACAAGTTAATAAAATATTTTAAAGAAAAAAAAAATCATTTAAGAACAACTACACATACGGACAACAGTACTATCCAGATTGTGAAATTTATAGGAAATGTGACATTTCCTGTACATCTTATAAAGTACTAGGCCTGGTTCTGAAATCTCAAATAGCATCCCAGTTTATACTGTAAAACCAGAATCAAAATTAAGGTTTATTTGTCTCCTAATATTTGTTTTGGATATGAAGAACAACAGAAATGCAGAAACAATTAATAATGTAAGGCTGAAAAACAATCAGTTTCATGATTTTGTTTTGGCATTGACCCAGAGTCCTTGGTTACGCCAGCGATAATGCAGCAGAGATGCAAGTAGATCTGTATTCCAAATTCATCTCTCCATTACACTGCTTGCAACCACACCAAGGGTGCACATTAGTTTATAAATAAATAAATAAATTTGTACATGAGACAGTTCTATGAGATGTGGTACTATAGCACCAAATTATTGGGGCTATACTGGGGATAAAGAGGTGTAACATCTACAGGTTGTTATGACTTACTGAATTAGAGGCATTCTGCACCTTGAGGAGGTTGAATTTCAGTGTAAACACAAAGCATTCTGCCCTGTTCAGGTCATTTCTGTTAAGGTGAAGCAGACAGTCCTTAGAAAAGATTCCGCAGATCAGTCAGCAAATAAGAATGTAGCAGCAGCTGCGCTCAGCCAGATGAAGGCCCATCTGCTCCCTGTCACAAAGAAAGAACAGGAGGAGACACTTTGGTAGGCAGAGGAAGGGACAGGACAAATACAGAATGATGCCCCCCAGGGAACGTCTTCCCAGCTTCCTAACAGTCACAGATTTAGAGGCCTCTTTGAAGTCATTACCTAATTAGCAGCAGCTAAAGGATCTCTTATCCTTGAACTATGCAATTCATTTTCGAACCTATTTAAATTTTTGGCCTCCAGAAAATCCTGCAGATTCTACAATTTAACTTGTATGTTGCCTGAACGAGAATTTCATGTTGTTTGCTTGAAATCCACTGCTAAAAACTCTTTGGGCATCACAGGTTCTTTTGCTGCTGAAAACACTGAACAACTCTGCCCCATTCATGTTTATATGATCTGAGATTTCATAATCTTGTTGTATTTAATCTCTATGACCTCTTTCTTAAGTCTCTAGTCAGTTTAGTCTTCTCATATGATGTAATTCAAAGTCTCTGATCACTCTTACCATCCTTTCCTGCTTTACTGTATCCTTTTTGAGGTAGGGGAAGAGAACTGCCAGGGGAAAACAAATCTGAGTGTACCACAGATCTGTACAGACATAGGAGTGTTTTATTTTGTTTACAGACCTTTTCTTAATAAGTCCCCAAATTCTGTTCTTTTGATCACTTGAACATGAGCTGATATTTTCTGAGACTCTTCAAAATAATCTCATAATCTCATTCCTGATTAGCAACATCAAACATCCATTTGGTGATATAGGCTGTCACTTTTTTGTGCAACTTTGCATTTATCATGCAAAGCAATATCAACACTAAATTATATCTGCTGTTCTATTTTCCTGTCACGTAGTATCACTGTATCCTTCTGCAACATTTTGCAATCAGCTTTAGATTTTATTATCATGAGCAATTTTATATCATCTGCAGTTGTCACCTCGATATTCCTTCCCTTTTCAGATGGCTTACAAACATGCTAAAAAAGCAAGGTCACAAAACAAGGTACTGAGGGATTCCAAAGATAAATTCCCTCCACGGTGACAAATGACCCTATATTCCTAATTCTATTTTTGTTTCCTGTGTTTGTTTTGTTGTTGTTTTTTTTTTCTACTCCTATTTTTTTAGCCTTCTATGACAAATCTCATGACAATTTAATTTCTTTAAGTCACTAAGCATTTGGCTTAAGATTTTGTTTAAAAGTTGGCTGATACCTGAACAGAGATCACCCCGATCAGAAAGATGGTTACCGACTCCTTAAAATAGCAAACAAACCTGGGAGCTTATTGTTTACCTCCAAAGAATAGCATCGTGTATAGATATTAATCTATTATACATTTGTCATCTGTATATATTTTATGCATATTTCCAGCCAATCCATCAGGGACAGAAGTCAAGCTAAGCCATCCATTTCCAATTTTCAGAGTAACTACAGCACCCTCTGAAACTGGTGCCTCTGGTAATTATGAAAAGAGGCTGCTTAGGCAATGTACTGGAGATAAATGCTCAGAATTTTCCTACCTTCATTCCTTTAAAGCACTTGGATGAATACCATCTAGCCCTAGTACTGTTAATTTCATTAATTCAATCCAAAAACTTTTGCATTGATTTTTTCAGTTTGAGACGATTGCTCCACAAAGATGATACTGGAATGGAAATTTCCCAAATGACCGCCTTGGTAGCAAACACCAACACAAATAACCCACCCAGATTTTCTACTGTGTCCTTACCACCTTTGTTCCTTCTCAGTTTTACTCCGTTTCTACCTTGACCGTGTATCTGCCGCACAGTCCCTCTGGCAAATCTCCTTGAGCGGCCAGTGACTTGTTTGCTCAGTAAAATCTCTAATTCCTCCGGGTCCAATGAAGTCTCTAAAATAAATCACGGTGCAATTTCAGTTTGCATTCAAATGAGAACACAGAGTATCTCTTGCACCTTGAGAAGTCATTCAAACCTGTGCAAGGTGGATGTAAAATATGACCATTCTTACTAATTACTATGAAGAGCATGAGACACCGGAGAATCAATCAGATCTATCAAATTTAGACTGTGCCTATGAATTTTTCCAATTACATGCCACTTTGCACTGAAATGCCACTGTGATCTCTGAAAAAAATCTCAATTTTCCTGCAAACACGGCGCTGCTTAATATACTTTTTGCAGACGTTACATACCGATTGGAAATGTCTGTTTTGGTACTGAAAAGCAATGGTTTATTTCCTGTTTGATAACTTAATGCAAAGTTAATGGAAATGTTTGTACAAATACAATTTATATTTACAATGCCTGTGGTAATGGGAAGATCTGTTGGAATACTGATCAGTTTTCCGGTGACAGAACATCGTATAACCTAGTTGTTACATTTATGAACGAGGGACAGAAGAAAACCTTCAAAGGTGAGGCTCAAATAATTATTGGTTTGGTCTTTTGTGATGGGCAGAGTTTATAATACCTTTTAAAACAGAATTTTTTCATATCCATAAAAATTAGGTGGGAAGGATACAACTAAAGTCTAACTGCAAAGTCTTAACTGCTTTAAAACCAGGGGCTTTACCTGAATGCGGGCAAAGGACAGGAACATTTCCCATTTCCTACTCTTTCGATATTTAATCAGAGTTAAATCGAGGTTATCCTTTAGCAACCTTGAATTGTGAATGAGGAATAAAAGAGAGGGTGATTCTTCAAGATTTCAGTTTGTGATCAGAATACTAGTCATGTTGAATATGAAAAATACAGAGCTTCAAAATTATTTTGCATTGCACTTCAAAAAAAAAAAATCTGAAACACAGATGAGGCCCTGAGAAAGGTGCAATCAGACAAAAAAAAAAAAAAAAAAAAAAAGCAGGATACATTCTTGAATAAGACCACACAAGTTTTCTGATCTCCAGCATAGAGGTTGGAGTCATTTTGTGGTAAACGCATTTGTATGAATAAAGCTGAGGGAGAGACCTCAGAAAGCTTTAAAAGGTTATGTTGGAAGCCTCAGGACACAGCTACTGTGCTTGACAATGAAGAGAGAAACATGCTTTTCAGGAAGGTCTTTCATTTTCTCTATGTTTCAAACTTCAGACAGTTTTTCCTTCTTCTTTCCCTTCTTCTTCTTTTTCATTCTATTGAAGTCACATTCAACATTAACAACGCAGCACTTGGCCTACCAGCAGAGTCCACCTGGTATCTGCAAAGCTAACAGATAACGTGTGGGGTTTATAAAAGAAGGTAAGAAACCCTGTACAGAAGGTATGGAGACCTTCCAGAGTCCAAACAATAGGACTTTGAAGGAGATACAGATTATAATGAGGTTCTCTCTCGTTCCATCCCAAGTTCTTTATTGCTTTGTTCATCCAAGGAGCATTAAGTGATGGAATGCTGTGCCCATTTACCTGAGACATGTATGGGCTTTCAACCAGAACCAAGGCAGGGACATTAGAGGTAGTCGACCTCAGAAGAAAGAAATTTCTATATAAAAAACATATTTTGTATATGTATATTCTCTAATAATAGGTATTTTATAATTTTGCTATTAGGAAAGGAAAACTAAATTTTACAATAACATATGTATGCTGTAATATCATTACACCTTGCCTCTTGTTATACTTTATACTCTTGTTACGAGTCAAATGCTGACTTGGAGCAATTCTGGAGTTAGCACTGATAAGTTCTGTGCATTTACATTTTAGGTTAACAACCACTGCTGTTCCATAATAAGAATTTCCCCAAAATCGGTATAGAGAAGTACAAAATAATTGGTCTCATAATGTAAACTTTCCTTAAATTGTCCCTTCAATGTCTTTTAAGGATTACTTCTGTCCTGCTGTGTTGTGTTCACAGTTCACAATCAGGACTTCATAAATCTGTGACTTCTTAACATAGTCTGAGTCCTTGACTAATCAGTAAGCTGGAAGACCTCCATGAACAAGAGGTATAGCCAAGACCCTCAGTCCCAGCCTTATGCAAAGCTTAAGCGTTCCCACAAACGCAACAGACTTACAAGTTTGTCTTCAACCACTGAACGTGGGCTCACGGGATGTGCTTGTTTGCAGGCACTGCAGATATACCTGTGGTGACACTCAGGAAGCATGTGCAGAGCTACATGGCGGAGTGTGATGGCCCCTGGGACGCACACTTCTGGCTACTCCTTGAACACATAGGTGCCCTTCGGAGGCACCCTAAATTCCCATGTAGCACTTCCACATCGTTCCTCGCAGCACCCAGAGGTGGGGGGGATTAGCAGGCAGCGTCCTGGAGGTGGAGAGCTTGTGACTCAGCGATGCAAACAGGCAAGACGAGATGCCAGCATCAGGGCCCTGATTGCATTAATTGGCCTTAATGGTCCTAATCAGCCTCTCCTTGTGCTTTCACCCCCCCACACACGCTCTGTTCCTGTAGGCAAAGAATGAGCAAGCGTATGGGTGAAGATTTAACCTCGACTTTCTTGCTGAGCGTAGAACAGGCCTGAGAGAGCTAACTCTTCATTAAGTGGTGGCCCACTTGCTACACACTGCAGTCAGGAACCAACGGGTAAACGCCAGCTGATGTTTGGGTGCTCTTAATGCTTTAACGCTGTGGGGATCTCCGCTCTGTCTTCCCTCAGCCTCTCGCCCCTGTGCTCCCAGGAGCCGTCCTTTCCTCAGCGCGGTTCCCTGGGCAGGCAGCACCCTCAGCCCTGCGGCTCTCGCTTCCTTCATGGATGTGCTTGGCTTGCTCATCTCTGCCAGGCTTTGCCATTCGGCCGTGTCAGACACAAACGCTGTGGAATCGCCGTGACTTCCTCACCCTGTACACGGGATCACCTCAGCGAGCTGTGAGCTCCTGAGCTGTAAGTTCCTACTGCTGCCTTTGGAAAGGGCTCTGCTGGGGGACTTGAGCGGTTATTTTCTGGGTAAGTTACTTCAGCAATACATCACGCCGAACCCAAAAGTGACGGATGGGCTCTACATCAGCTGCTGTGTGCGCGCATCCCCAAATTCAACCCTCAGAGGAGCGCAAATGTGCCCATCGCCCCCACAGCCGCTTTATCCCGCTGTGGCAGCAGCCAGCCATCATCATCACCACCACCGCCGCCTCGCCTCACGGCTTGCCCTGGAGCACTCTCCCCCCCGGGGCAGGCAGCAGGAGGCCGGCAGGAGGAGCGGGGCCGCCCGCCAGAGGTCCCCCTCCGCCCGCAGCCGCCCCCTGACGGAGCGCCGGGCGCTGAGGGGCGGCGCCTTCCCGCCCCCTCCTCCTCCTCCTCCCTCCCGCCTGCCGGGCGGGCTCGCACTTTGCAGACGCTCCCTTGCGGTGCCTCAGCCTGTCATAGCGCCGGGCGTGCGCGCGCGCATTCCCCCCCCCTCCCTCCCCATTCCCCTCCCCTCTCCTCAGCGCCGCGCCGCTCTCCCTCCTCCTCCTCCTCCTCCTCTCTCCGCGCCCGGCACTTTGCAGACGCTCCCTGCGCCCTCCTGCAGGCGGCCCGGCCGCCCCTCAGGCCGCGGGCCCATGGGCGCCGCGCCCCGCCCGCCGCGGGGGGCTGCGCTCGGGCGAGGCGCTGAGGTGAGGCGAGGCGGGAGCGGGGGGCGCCTCACGGCTCCCCTGGGGGGCGGCGGGCGGCTGGGGGAGATGGGGAGGGGGGGACGCGGGGGTCGTGGGGGTGTGAGGGGGGTGAGGGGAGTGAGGGAAGATGGCCCCGGGGGCGTTGGTGGCGCCCGTTGGTTCCCCTCAGGGCGCCCGTTGCCTCCCCTCAGGGCGATGAAGTTCGGGGGCGGCGCCGGGTCGGGGCTGGGCGCCTCGGAGCCGCGGTGAGCCGGGGACGCGCCGTGCCCTTGATGCTGCGGGCTGGGAGCGGTGCCGCTGGGGTGCCCGCTCCGCTTTCCCTTAGCCGCCCGTCCCCACTGGGGCTGTGTCCCGTGTGTCCTCCCCCCCCGCCTCCTCCTCCGGCTGCAGGCTTGCTGCTCGCGGCTCTTCCCAAATAGTTTCACCATTTCGTAAAGGGCTGACAGCCGCTCTCCGGAGGAGGAACCGGTTGGTTGGTGTCGGTCGCTCTTGGAGCCATTTTGCCTGGGGGCACTCGGTCCGGGTTCGGCTGAAGGGGGGATTTGCCTCCTCCTGCCTTCACCTCGCGCAATGGCTGAGTTCTCCAGGAGAAATCGTGCTGGCTGCGGGACCCGCGGTTCACGTAGTGACTGGTGGCTGAGCCAAGCCTAATAGTGGTAAAAAATCCATCACTTTTTCTGGTGTTTTTATTACATATAAGGCAACTTGCAGTGCTGCCTCCTGCTCTGTACCTGTACAGGAGAATATAGGGAATAGTTCAGTCTTAAGCAGAGCGCTATGTGTACTGAAAGGACTGGCTACTCGCCTTAATTTAAGGTGTACAGGCTGTTTTTTCTTTCTTCTATGTAGAATATGGATTTATTTTCCATCAGCAAATAAGGATTAAACAATATACGCGTCCCTTTTCTGGGTGGTAAATCCATCCTGCTGTCTAAGAAGGAGCCAGCTTGTACAGCCTGGACTGAAAAGATGCTGAAAGACCAAGTGGCTGAATACCGAGTGTAAGAAGATCAGGTTGCTTAAGCTCCAGGAACTAAACTGCCTAAAACTTAGGAAGCGGCCAGCAACACTGAGTGCAGATCATCTAAAATCCTTAATCTGCTTCGTGATGTAGAATCGGGCAAAATAATGAGGTGCTCTGCATTCCTGAAACGATTTAGATTAACAGCAATTGCTCTCCAGTTTGTCATCTCCTTCCAACCAAATTCCTTTCCCTTGATTTAAACAAAAAGCAAACAAAAAGTTATATCATCAACTTCTATTCTTGAGGTAATATGAAGGATTTTAGTAGCGCCATTCATTTCAGTCTGAATTTATTTATTTTTTTATTATTTTTACAAGGTTACGTTTCTGGCATTATATTCTGCTGTCATCTAACAGGTTCGCTTCACTATTTTAATAAAATTGGCTTATTGTGCAGTTTTCCTCCCCATCTTGGCTCTCAAATTTTACTAAAATTCAGAGGTTGTTGACGTGAAGTGCCCTGCACTGATGTAGTAACTTGATTATTAGCTGTGTGGTAGGTGTTTTGAAGGCTTTTGTGAACACAGCGTTCACGTTTTGAGCAGGTTGAATGCTAAAGAAGATTACCTTAGTATTTTATGAGAGAATTTGGTTTTATTGTTGTGAAAAGGGACCGATAAGGGAGATAGAGCAGCAAACATTACTTTATGGTTACTTGCTGACATTGACGTAGTCTATAGAGCAGATGGTGGAAAGAAATCTGATATGATAAATATCAAAAAGCCAGGTTCTGGTAGTAGTTTCATTTACGTCATGTTATTCCAAAAGTGCCTGCTGAACTCGCTTGCTTAGCTGCGTTTGGAACCCGAGCAGTGCTCCTGCAGTCACTTGGTAATGAAACGCAGGAGTAGCTGCTGGAGGAGATGAACATGCTGCACAGCGCTAATTAGCTGCGAATCTGATGAGGGGAAGCTCTTCCACGAATCAAGCAGTTCTGCTATTATTGTGTCTTCAATTTAAGAAATTTCTTAAGTGGTTGGAGTGGTACGATGCCGTCCTTTAATCTTCTCTGCTTTTGCAGTTAGTATTTACACGGCTCTGCAATTCATATATTGTAACAGTTAAATAAAAAGCAAAAACCCCTTTTGTCTGTGATGCTTCAGAAGGAAAAGTAGAGTTTTGTATTTGCCTCTGTGTGTATGCACACACATGCAAACCCCTCTGGTTTTCTTGTTTTAGCCTCCTGTTACTGGTATACATTATTGGATCTGTGAAGGCTTCACTGCATCTCGCTTGCATTTCTTGAACAGCCTGGATGAGTATGAGGGCATGTAACTTCTGTGAGAAATGAGTTTCATTGTTCAGATCCGGTTCTGGTAGTGGCTTGGTTTCCCTCACTTGTGACCCCATGTGCTTTTGTCAGTTTCTTGTTTTTTTTTTCTTTTTTTTTTTGTGTGTGTGTGTTGGTAACAGTTACTGTGAGTTACTCCCCAGCCACAGAGGGAAGGAGAGAAAAACTTTATACCAGTTTTTATTAGTTCTGTGCAAGACTTTAGTTATTGACATAGGAGCTCTATTTGGACAGCGTTTGAGGAGGAACAGCTGTGATTAGAACTAGTGACACCAGTGCTAGCACAACCTCAGATGCGTGGCAGCTGCTTTTGTGACCGTGCAAACTTTCATCAAGGTGGATAGCCTCACTCTTCTGCTCAAGCTTGGGTGATGGTTGAGCTGTCTTGAGACAAAGTGGCAGGGTTTGTTCTCGCCTTGCAACAAAAAGAAGTCTTGTTAGTTTTAATTGGGTGGTTCCTTCAAGGCCACAATGCAGGCACTCAAGCCAGGTTGTTGCTTCTGCCAGGAACTTCTGCTAAAAATGTGGCAGTTCTGTGTACTAGGGAGACCCGAAGGAAGGAATGGAGAAAACAAAATTAGTTCGGGGGACAGGGATTCCCTCTTTGAATGCTCCAAGTAGCACAGTCCATGATTCAAAGTAGCAAAGTCCTTTACACAAGGAAAGCTTAAGTCAATGATGTGATTCATTTGATTTATTATTTATGGTTTGTATGAGCTAAGAATCCTGTGATCCTTGCCCTTCGTTGAGGCTCACAAGGTCCTGTTATTCCTATTAGCTAAGCATATTTCTTCATACATCCCACAGGCATTCCAAACTGTTTAACCTTGATTATTAGTCCAGCTCACTGGTGTTTGTCTTACTGCTTTTTCTTTCCTGATAGAAGACTGTAGTATTTGAAAGCTATCAACCACTTCTTTTGACCTCGTCCTTTAGACAAAAGGGTTTACGTGGGTTATAAGTAGCAGGCAGATTGTTTTAGTGACTTGTTTTTTCCTTACATAAGAAGGAAGGAGATTCGTACTGTTAGGAAAAAAACTGATTTCACTTGTATCAGTTGCTGGCCTTGAATCATGGAGTTTGTTTTGTTTCTTTGTGTCACCGTTTTTTGTTTTGTTTTCCCCATACAGTGTATTGCTTTTGGTTACGCTTCCTGAGAATAGTTTTGTAACTAGAATGTCTTTCTGAAGTCAGAGATTTGAGTGAAGAAGCTTGTTGCTGCTTCCTGTCTGTTGCCTGTTAAGGTTGTATTCCCTGCTTCCCAAAGAGTCAGGTGAGCCACGTGAGCACTCTGACTGTTGCACAGCAGTTTACATGACCTCTTTTGAGGTCCTATCAAAACATTTTCAGATAGCTACTGATGAAGTGGTCATTGAAGGTACAAGCTGCAGTGAATTACAAATCCTGCCATATTCTGTGGTCTGGAGGTTTATTGGATGTGTTACATGTCAAGATATGGACCCTCTGGATTCCAGCCTGTTATGTGATAGTTCTCTTGTCTGAAACGCGTGGGAGTGGAGTGGAGTCACCCACTCCTACAGCTTTGCACTGCTGGAGGTCTTCTGTATGTGTGGATTCACTTAGGCAGTGGTTCTCTTGGGCTTAAAATACTCTCTCTTATCCCTCTCCTCTTTTTTACCTCTCTGTTCTCTCCGTGTGTCTGTTCCCTTGCTGCAAAAATTTGTTCTTTTCTCCTTCCCTCCCCACGGCTGTGTCTGACAGAATGAAAACAAATCTCCATCAGTTGCTTCAGGGCTGTTTTTGGAAGTTGCCCTTGAACTCTGCAGAATGTGGCTGTAATATGCATCCGGTATACCTGGAAGATGATTCCAAGTATTAGGGACCCAATGTAATCAAACTTTCATTTTTCTCTGCTGTTATGACTTATTTTGTTAAAACAACTTCATGGTTTGAGCGTAGATGGTCTATTTGAAACGCTTCATTGGTGGTGTAAAACTTGCCAAGGTGGGATACATGAAGGAGTTACGCGTGTTTTTCTTAACTCGTTTAGTAAATTTGCACCTTTCTGATACGGTATTCATAGCGAAAATAAATCTTTGAACAGATCATTTACTTCTTAAAATGCTTTTATGTAATTTCAACGAGTCTGTCTTGATAGGTTCTGTTCAAGACAGCGTGTGCATTGATTTAATTTTGGATGTTGTAGACAAAGAAGAGTGAAAATGCTAGCGTGAAGTTCCTGTGAAGAAAATTTTCACCATCCCATTCTCTTCTTATTCTATTCTGAAACATGGTGACGTGACTGCCTTAAAAGCAGTGACACTGTTTGCTTGACCTAACTGTAGAGCCCAAGTCCCACACTGCTGCAGTCCACTGTTGTGTGAAGGCTGTTTCTGCGTGACAGAAATGCTTCCACTACTAGGG